GCATTGTCTTTCGTGATGCTAAGCTCGATTTTCACGAGCGAATTTGCTGGATCGCGAATCTTCAGGTGCCACGGATCATACTTGAGATCAGCTATCCTCGATGGATGAATCAAAGTAGTCTGATTCCAGTGTTCAATAAGATCATTTGCTACCTCATTTCCAGTATATGTAGCGAGCATCTTAAAAGGCGAACAAGAAAATACCTGCCTGCGTGGATCGTAACAGCTCAGGACAGGGAAATCAAATAGTCTTGAAAAGACAGCCTTGTTGTGGGTAATAGTGGGTGCTGGAAGAATTGAAGGATTGAACTGAGGTTATATTGTCTGAGTCTACAAACTGTATATGTAGGTGGGTGACCGTAAACAGCGCTAGTCCCAGATAGGCATCGGTCCATTACAAAGGTACGTTGCGACTGCAGGAGCAGAGCAGGAGAGACCCCAAACCGTAACAGTCCATGACGCGGTTATATCCGTTGGCCAGTCGGATAGGCTCCGCGAAACTGTTCATCCTCTTCATTGTTGTGATGAGAGCAGCTCTGTCTGGATGTGGCATAGCGATCAAACTTGACACGTTGATTAGTACACTAATATCAAAAACGGCTGTATCATTCAAACGCACCTTGTGTATCCGGTAACGGCAACCTTTTAGCGAGCTTTCATAGCTTCCTCTTCCACGTGCGCATCGTTCCACTCTTTGAGCAACCTTGAACAGTCTTAGCAGCTGATATAGTACCGTCTAGGGTCCACTTACGGGCTCAATTTTTTGCGGAGATGAGTCAGCTTCTCGGTCAAAGACATTGGCTGCGGAGTAACTGAGCTAGTGGCTTTTTGTATCCGAAAGCTAAGTACGGCTGAGTGGCTGCAATCAATGGCCGGCAATAGTGTCGTTGAGCGAATATCTTTGTTAGGTATCTCTAATACCAGTTCTCGCACATGTTCGGAATATAACCTGCAAGAAGCCCTGTACTAGTGCTATTTTCCAGTAAGTGAACCATGGAAGCAAGGTATGGACTATGCAATTGGGGGATTCACCGTGCACAGGTTTAGAAATGTGGTATCTGTGACGTATACCTTACCTTTATTGCCCTGAACCATTGTGAGTGGTCAGAAATTATCCAGATAAAAATTCCAACAACTTCTTTCAACTCTTATATCAACCAAGACGGAACATACCACGCACAATCAACGTTTCTGGACTTTTACTGACGATCACCGCCCACGAACCTTATATCGTGATATTACCTACTCTTCCGATTTGAAAAGCTGGTTCCATCATAGGAGCCAAACGGAGCATGGAGGTAGAGTCATTACACATGCTTTCAAAGTGTAGCACAAGTGAGCTCCGATGGCACTATCTAAAGTAACGCTGACACTTGTACCTCTCGCAATTATCTCTGACTGTGAGTCAGGTTCAATAAACAGAGCCGGGAGATCGAAATCGAAATCGAAAACCTCGACGCCCAGAGACAGGAATGGATCCAGAAACATGGCCCAGCGCATCCGAGCATCGGCTTCAGTTTCCTCGAGCGAACCAACGCCCAAGCACAACTACGCGAGTTCTTCTACAAAAAGAAAACCTTGACGCATCGCTTGGAAAATGTGAAATCATTTTTAGCTCGCGTAGAAAGAGTGCGTCAAGAGATCGTTTGCCGAAACGTATGCGACTGTGTCTCCACAAAATTGCCTAGAGAGCTCCGCGACATGATTTATAGACATCTCCTCGATCAAGAACTAGTGAAAGTTGACTTTGGGTTCCTAGTTGCAAGGGGATATCTAGCTGCCGCATTTGTTCCTTTTGAGGAAGCGAGAAAGATAAACAGCGACCTGATCGCGGAAGATCTCCACTGGAATGCTTCGATCACAGGAAACAACTTCCAGCACGAACTCACCGAGTTGTGGTATACTGAGGCCACTTTTGATCTTGGAACCAACGCAAGATATGGAGATATGGTTCTCAAATTGGATCGTAGGACTCTTGGCTTCACACCCTCTAATCTGATTAGACACCTCCAATGCGATGTAGAACCCAAAGTGGCGTTCTCATCCGGAAGTTATCAACTTGTTGCTGATGGCCATAACCTACTTCAGTGTCTCGAGTTACTCCCAAGGAAGATTACACTTACCATAACGCTCAAGCCGTTGATTGGAAATGGAGACTGGTTAGAGATGTGGGAGTTCCTTTACAGTATTACCCACAGGGGATGGGCGTATACACATGCTCGCCAATATCGAAAAATGATAGCATCTTTGATGCCGACAGTCCTCTCCTATCGCCATGCAGGTCATACTGTTGAGATTATCGCACCGGGCTGGAAGAGCTTCTCGGTTTCCACTTTTGTTGAGCTTTCGGAGCCTGACTTTGAAGTCTGGATCAAGACAGTAAGTCTACCGGAATTACATGCGATAGTTTCCCAACTGAATTGACCAGGGCTTGCCAGAGTCGTTGAGAACATCTTTCTCTTCAAGGTAGACTACGCTACCCACCGCCGCTGTTTATTACCTGCAAATAATTTGAAGACTTTTGTATGCGGTGGTTTGGGGTACCTCGGTTCGACTGTAATATGGTACCAGAGTCGCCACAGAGCTGAGCACAGCACAAGCTCATCATAACCATATGAAAAGACTATCCATTCATAGAATAAATCTCACTTATTTCCTTCCTCGGTTGAACACCAGCGGAGATTTTGATCTCGTACGTAGCATACTTGTCAACGAGCGAGCCGGCTCGCTCAGCTCGCTCGGCTTGGACGTTTTGACCAAGCCGAATGAGCTGAGCGCGCAATGCGCGCTTGCAAGCCGAGCGAGCTTAGGGATAGGCGCTCGCTCAGTCAGCTTGCTTAGCTTGGTTAGATGGGGCGGTTGGAAACTTGGGGCTGAAGGACTTGGTGGAGGGGCAATCTCACGATGATTTTTAGGTGTAGTGCGTAAGTTCGAAACCTAGTTATAACATAAAATACACTCTTTTTTGCTATATTTCTAGCAAATAAGCTACTAAATTTCCGGCTAACCGCCTGGCAACAATATTCTCCTTTTGCGACACTTCACTTACTACTTATCACCCACCACACTCATCTAAACTCCATCAACGCGTCTCTATTTGCAGCTACTATCTACCTCGCCGTTGCTATAATGCCAGCAAAAAGAACACGCGTTAATGCTCCAGAAATCGCGGCAACTTTATCAACAACTTTATTGAGCCTGCAGGGCTTACGGAGAACGAGGAAGATGAATATGAGGCTTGGAAACGCAGCGAACCGATCGCTGGCGAGGGCGTCGACCCTATAAAATACTGGGTAGAACTCCGCGATCGCCACCCTAGCCTTAGCAAATTTGCTATCGACATGCTATCAATCCCAGGCTCAAGCTGTGAGTGTGAGCGCTTATTCAGCGAGCTGGGTGACCTCCTCGAGCCCCGTCGGCGCAGCATTTCTCCGCAACTTCTAGCAGCAATACAGTGCGATCGACGATGGATAAGAGCTGGATTTGGCAGTGGTGAGGTGCCTGTAAAGGAGGCTATCAGCGATGAGGAGATGGACGCGAAATACGGTGTACATAAGTGGGATATTAGCTGAGAAACTCAACACCAAGGTTTCTATATAACTTTCCTAATCGGGACTGAGCCCATCAAGCCGAGCGAGCTGACAGCCCTGTTTCAGCCAATCCGAGCGAGCCGAGCGAGCTGCTGGCCTCCGCTCAATTGGCTGAGCAAGCCAATTGGCTGAGCTCGCTCAGCTTGCTCATTGACATCTGTGGTACGTAGAAAGAAGAAGTTTCGTTTCGCTCACATGGAATAATATACAGGACGTCGAGGTTTTGAATTTCTGTATCTTTCGTGTGCGCGCAAAAGTTTTCATCTCCTTTACCTTACCACGGTACCCATCCTTGGCTTACGAGATTGAAGAACCCTCGATTACATCATATTGATGAGAGCTCTACCGAGTCTTTCCACGCTTGCCTTGTGATAGCTTTGTCCACAGTAGAAAAATGTGCAGAGGCTGCAAAGGAAAGCTAAAGGAAAGCATGAGAAGTTGGTATACCCAACAACAACGAAAAGTTTCGAACTTCAGGCTTTTACATAGTGCTAGGCAAAGGCATTAGTTAGAATAAGGAGGGCGAAATAGATATCGAGTTGTCCAAGCGCAAGCGTATCGGTGACTGCTTGGACGCCCCTGAGAAGACTAGTAAGTCGGATACCGAGAAAGTGAACATGCTTTCCCTGGTGCTCATATAGAGCATTGGGAGAGTCTGAGTATGTTCGAAACAAACACCCCGAATAAGATAAGGATTGCGCGCTACGGGGCGGGAAACGGCAAGGTGGGCGGTAGAGGTGTGGTTGCTCCGCCGTCAAAGCAACATCAAGGGCTCGTTCAGAGCCGCTGTTGAGGAAATAATGCAGTGCAAATGGTGTCGCAATTGTTTCGCGACTATCACTAAAGCTTCACAGGCGCGATTGCCCAACAATTCTAGACGAACAAAAGTATCGAAGGACAGACAGTATGAAACCCAGTTAGATAGGACATCTCCGCGGTAGTTGGAGTGTCTTATCGATAAAACATCCCCACTACCACCTATTCAACCTAGCGCATTTACTCGCTCGATCGGCTCGACCCGCGCCTGCTCTTCGCCGAGATCTAAACTCAAACACGATGCACATTCCCTTCGTAGTTTCCCAATTGAAACCATGGTCGTTGTTGCAGGAGAAACGCAAAAACGCTATTTCCGTGATGAAGATCAACTGCTGACTTTGTGAAACCGATTAGACTAGGTACGCAAGTAGTCTCTGCGGGATATAAGAGTAGTACGCGTTGGGAGATGGCCGAGTGAGCCCGGCGTGTTGGAGATTAGCTGTGCGAAACGGTCGATCGGTTGGGTCATGAGATTGGACCCTGAAAGGGTGTGAGTGGTTTTTTGGGCAAGGGTGGCCTGGTGTGGAGTGGTAGACATGATGGCACATGAGTTGGATGCCTACAGGAAGGAATGAAGGAATATGTGCATCATGAGTGGTGGGGTTTGAACATGTCTAAATTCTCTGATTCATACTTTCCACTCCACCTTCAAGCCGCAGCGCTGTTCTCGGCCAAAACCCCGTTACTCGTCTCCAAATCTCCCATTGCCTTGCCGCTCTGCTTCTGCTTACTCTTAAAGTACTGCGTGAAGTCGTGTCTAACCTGGTGGATATTGTCCGCTAATTGCTTGCCCCAAACAAGGTCGTCGTTCGCCTTGCCACACATTTCGAAGAATTGCTTGCGCTTCTCTTCATGCGCTGGGTCCCAGAGTCTGTGGAAATTGTCTCGTGATACGGGATCGATCATTTCGCGCCAAATCTTGATGCGAATCGTGGAGTAGAGGTCAAGGATGTCTTCGTCGAGTTCGTCGAGGTGGATGCCGGTGAAGCAGTCGTAGAGAGAGCCGACGTCGGCGAATCCGCCTGTGAGACCCATGCCGCCGCTGGGAGTTGTTAGTATAAGAGACTTGAGATGATTCGATGTAGGACGTACAAGGGGTTGCAAAGATGGGCTGCATCAGCTACTAGTACTATCTTCCCTACTCGGAAGCTAGGCGCACATCTTTGTTGGAGTTTATAAGGGCTCATGCTGATGAGCTTGTACTCATCTGGTTTCGGATGCCCGGGAAGAATCTGCTCGTAGCGAAGCGGTTGGCGTTTGATGAGTTCTTCTTTGGAGAGTCCCTCGCTATCGCCGTATGTTACCCGCCATAGACCGTCATTGGTGATCTTTGCAGCCATGTACCAATCAGTCGGATGGACGATGAAATTCGAATCCCAGAAGTCAAATTTCTCGTCAAATGGGAGGTAGACCTGTGAAGTTAGCATGGGGATTTCAAGATGGCGCTGCAGAACTTACATTGGTAGCAACAATCTGAGCCTTCAATGTCTCTCCAGGGTATTCCTTTCCGAACAAGGCAGTGCGAACACCACTCGATGCTCCATCTGCACCAACCAGATAGTCTCCTGTGATTTTCTTCTTTTCCCCATCTCGGGTCTCAATGATTGCCGTTGCACCGTTCTCATCTTGCTCGACACCAACCAGCTTGTGGCCCCACTTGATCTCTGTGTTGGGATAGCTCTCAAAATGCTTTACAATCAGCGGACCAAGCCGATCAAGTGGTAAGACAACCATGGCATATTTTGAGTCATCTCCCTCACGTCCCATGCCTCCTAGGAATGTACCATCTTGCAATCGCCAGCATACGCCTCTAGGTTTCAATCCCACAGCACGCACATCGTCAATAATGCCGGCACGATAGAAGTCGTACACAGCTGAAGGCGCGTAATGGGCGGCGCGAGGGTTGTCATCGATCTTTTCGTTGGCATCAAGAATCGTGACCTTGATTCCGAGATTCTTCGCAAGTAGTACTCCGAGTAGGAGCCCTGAAGGGCCTGCGCCTACAATAACGATCTAGTCGGGTTAGTCTCAGGCAGGACGTCTATCAAGACTGGAGTAGCCCATACATGGTTGAGTTTCGGCATAATTGTGTTCGTTTACTAGGTTGCTTGAGAATGCAAGTCATCTAAACGACATGGTCATTCGTCTTTAAAATCACATGTCCGCATTGCGCTTATAGTGGGGCAATGATTCCCCCGCTCCAACTGTCAGAGTCTCCATGCTCATCTCCCAGCGCTGCAGCCGTGCTGCAGGTGCGGGGAAGACAGCTGCACCTGGAAAGCCCCACACGACCACTGCCAGTGGGGACGGCACTGTTTGCCGGAGTATTGTATTGCCGGTCCGTGGAGCAGGGTATGCACGTGATGGCTGAGTCACTCATGCTGAGTCATGTCGGCGAGGAAAAAGCGTGGCGAGACGTCATGCGCGCGGGTTGGCGAACGCAAGCGGAAGGCATGACGTAGAGAACCAAGCCCAACACCTGCATGCGCCGGAACCCTCGTGCTCGAGTCTTTTTCTCAACATGTATCTTGAGTACGCATGTTACGAATACGCTGACGAAAGGTCTATTGCCATGTTCCAGACACAGCTTCTGTGGAGACTGGAGATGGTCGATCACAGGGAGACGATTGGGGTGGAGGAAAGATTGGCTGCGCGCAAAATTAGAACGCATACCTACTTACGCACACCGCAACACCACTCAGACGACGTCACCCCCACGGTCTATACCAGTCGCGTCGTACCCGCTGCGTCCGCCTCAGCATGTGACGATCACAAAGACGCCGAAACATGCGCTCTGATCTCTTCTGCATCACTTTTGTTGGGATGCGCATAGGCTCCCGGACCGCTGGCGGAAACAAGCTTTACCGGGCCTTCTAGGGTTTTCAGCCTCCCTATCGCCACCACACCTCTCAACCGCTGTCAGCCGCAAACCACTCTCTCACCATGGCTAATGTGACTGCTTCATATGAAGACCCAACATGTTCCTTCTCCGCTCGTGCCTGCCGCTCTGGACACATAGTGCAACGTCAATGCAACGCCGTTAGTTCTCGAACCAAGTCATAGCAACTAGAGCTCCACTTGTGTTATCATGGCGACTCGAAGCTCGTTCCCACGATGCCCCTAGGTATGCGACCATTGGGCCGACGCGCACCGCCAGGCTTGGACGACCCAGTTAATACCCACTGTGTGCTTATCTCGGCTTTCCTCAACCAGACTGATCTCAGGTTTTGGCACAACATGTCCACTTTTCTGTTGCGCCGGCTGCCAGTCTGGGAATGGAGCATTGCAAATCTTGGCCGCCGTGGTATCCGCGCTCTGACCTGTGTCTTCAGTCCAACAGCCTCATCAAACATTGTGCATACTCTCATGTGAATTAAACGTTGGAAAGGTACCGGATTCATTGCCAAGTACTCCTTTCAACGTCGTGCACAATCAAGTATGCCATATCGGCCAAAGCAGGCAAGCGTATACTGGACGAGCACCGGCCGTTCTGCGTTTCAGCAATATCGGAGTACGCGGTTTCCCTAAAATACCTTTAACGCCAGTGCAGCCACTCCCGCCGTACTTTTCAAGGGTCTGGCTTTTTGGGCTGCGACTTTGTGTCGGTCGCGATTCTGGCGCTCCCGGAAGACCCTGCAACCCTGCAAGAGTCGATCCACTCTCCCCTTTGTTAGCTGACGAACCCAACACCGAACCTTCTGGCCGCTGGTTTCGATGAGGAAAATTGGGGCTGTACGCCACTACAGACTTTCACACATCTTTGACTGCCTGGTGACGTCCAGTGCACGGCTCTTATCAACCCCACCTAGGGGCTGTCTGCTTTCCACCACGATTCCCTTCACCTTCGTTTTTACAAATTACGCCTGTTACGGCATCAAGTCCTGGTATACAGTCTTTACTGCATACACACATATCCAAGAAACCATACTCCAGCGGGGTCTCCAAACCTTACTATCCACTGATACCCGCCCTACATCGAAGATCTCTGCTAGGTGCATGAACTGTTCCAGACATCAGACTCTGAATTGAGATATTACCGATATCTTAGCGTGTGGCACACGGTCACCACGTGCACTGTTATCTGCTCCTAGTCGCGGAACTCGGCGCGTTACAGATATTACAGATTACTGCGAGTCGAGTGGTATTTCCGAGGTGCCCAACTAGTCTCACGATAGTGCCCAAGCACTACAATACATCATGAACCCCTTTCAAGTTGCAGGCTCTTCTCGCCAGAACAACTTCGAATCAGACGAACAGATGTCGACCACTCCTGGACGCAAGCGTGTTGGCTGGACTGAAGAGCAACAACCTGTTGTCCGCCGAAACCAATCACCAGAGGGTACTGGCTCTGCGGGGCACACCACGCCCCTCGAACGGTCTGATGTATCACAGGATGATCTCCAGAAAATACGCGCGTCGTTGCGGTTAGCTCTCGGGGATGAGAGTCTCCAGGAAGAAGTCATACAGGAACCCGTCGCAGCTCCAAAAGATGTACAGAAACCACGTCCAGCCATAAGGAAAGCGGGTCCTCGAACGCCACCACCAGAGTTTTATCTCAATGATCAACCGAATCCCTTTGACGACAACGAAGCTACCATCGGCCACGAGCTCAAAGAGAGGTCAGGCCTCGCCGCCCAACGCCGCGCAGCCAGACTTTCCAAGTCTGTAGGCACATACTCTGCTCCTGTGTCTCGACGCAACTCGAAGGAGCTCGCTTCGCCACCCGTCGAGCTCAATGACCTAACCCGAAAGTATGAGTCAGTGGGCGAGACAACTGACGATGACGACGATGATCCTCAGTTCATGAAGCGCGCGTCTATGCTACTCCGCCAGCACACTGTGCGAGCAGCTAATAGCCAGGCCGGACTCACTAACGATGATCTGTACCATACCGATGTACCACTCCAGTCGGGCCAGGTAACACCTGATGCGATGGAGGTCGAGGACGAGCACGTGCTTCGACCCACCAAGTACAGAACAGGAGTACTAGGTACGCTCATGAAGATGTCGAACAACAATGCGCAAGCATCGTCTTCGCGACGACCCGCTCACAACCGCACATACAGCGCTAGCACCTTCAGTGGAGCTTCTACAGCGGCCAACTCTCCAAACCCATCACCACCTGTGTCCGGATATTCCACCCCACGCGGGGGTCGTGCTTGGTTTAGAAGCAACAACCAGTCGGCCGGCACATCCATCTCACAGCTCGTCGGTTCATCAGCACACAGTTTCGCTACCCCAGCGCAGAGAGAACTTGGCCAAGAGTTTGAGGAGCAATACAAGAAGACCCGGCCAGGCATGGGCAAGCGAACCAAATCAGACGACTCCATTCTACCATTCAAGAAGAACAAGAGAAAGGAGGAGGAGATCAAGATCAAGATTCATCTCGCCGGAACACTAGCGCGGCAGAATTATCTTCGTAAGCTCTGCAAGGCTTTGATGATGTACGGAGCGCCTACACATCGACTGGAGGAGTATCTCAACATGTCTGCTCGCGTCTTGGAAATTGAGGCACAGTTTCTGTACATGCCCGGTTGCATGATTGTTGCATTCGACGATTCTTCCGTTCACACTAGTGAGGTGAAGCTTGTCAGGACCACTCAGGGTGTCGATCTCGGTAAGCTCCGCGATGTCCATGAGATCTACAAAGACGTAGTGCACGACCGGATCAACGTTGAAGAAGCGACGCCACGTCTCGACACTATCATGGGACGCAAACCAAAGTTTAACAGATGGCTCAGGGTGCCAATGTATGGCCTAGCTTCGGCGACAGTCGGACCATTTGCGTTCCAGGCGCGTTTCATCGATTTGCCTTTCTGCTTCCTCCTAGGTTGCCTCATCGGATGGTTGCAACTTATCGTTGCACCCGGGAACGACCTCATCAGCAACGTATTTGAAATTGGTGCATCAGTCCTCACTAGTTTTGCGGCGCGGGCTCTCGGATCGATCAGGCATGATGGCAAAGAGATATTCTGCTTCAGTGCAATGGCCCAGTCCAGTATCGCACTCATTCTTCCCGGTTTTATGGTGCTATGTGCGTCACTCGAGCTCCAGAGCAAGCATATCGTTGCTGGATCGGTGCGCATGGTTTACGCCATCATCTACTCCCTCTTCTTAGGGTTCGGCATCACCATTGGCACTGTCTTGTACGGTATGATGGACAAGAACGCGACATCGCGAACGCAATGTCAACAACCCATGTCAACGAACTATTACTACTTCTTTGTACCTGCGTTCGCGGTCTGCCTGCAGATTGTCAACCAGGCCAAGTACAAGCAGATGCCATCCATGACTGTCATCGCTTTCATCGGCTGGGTAGTCAACTTCCACAGTTCCAAGTACTTCAAGAGCAACGCACAGGTCAGCAACACTCTCGGAGCTCTGGCTATTGGTATCGCTGCAAATGTGCACGCCCGCTTTGGCCGACACCTTGAGAACTGGAGTCTTGACATGTGGGAACACAAGCTGCGTCCTCATTTCGTGAAGTTGCGAAAGGCTTACCGCAGGAAATCTCCTGGTCCACTTCGAACGAGCAAGGTTGAGCGATCCGCCTACGATCCCACACGCTCCAGTAGCGGACACACATCGCGAGCTAGCTCGATTAGCGACTTCACACCTCACACACGCAAGATCGGGTACGGGCTCGCTGCGGCTGCCATGTTACCCGCAATCTTCGTTCAAGTGCCCTCTGGTCTGAGCGTCCAAGGTTCTCTCGTATCCGGCCTTACCTCTGCGGATCAGATTGTGCGCAACAGTACCGGAAACGCCACCACGCTCAGCAGCGCCGAAGTCGGTACCAGCACGACACTCAACTCCATCGCGCTTGATGTAGGTTTCTCGGTCATTCAAATTGCGATTGGTATCACCGTCGGCTTGTTCCTCGCTGCTCTGATCGTATACCCTCTTGGCAAGAGGAGGTCAGGATTATTCAGTTTCTGAGTAAAGACCCCTGGAACCAAAAATTCCACGTATTGCCAGAAAGAGTATACCGCAATCATCTTGCACCGGTGTGCCAATCTCCCGCCGCCAGGCACCGCGCACGCGCTCCGCGACACGGACGTTGCCGCGACCAGCGTCCGGCACCTAGTACCGGCGGCGCACGTACCTACCCAAACATCAGGGAACCAGGGAGAGGGATTGGGCATCAACGAGATTACCCAAAACAACAAAAATCTCCTTTGTATTACATTTGCTTTTACTATTATCTCTGCGTATCAAGCGAGTCATGCATTTACAGGAGTCTGAGGGTGGAGTGGGGGTCTGTCTGTAATGTTGCATTTCATGGCGTTTTAATACCTACAAGCTTTACCCTAGTATCTGCTACGACATTGATATTGCTCGTGCTGCCGATCGCCGGTGAGAGATTCGTGTTCGTGTTCGCAATCATTGTACTATTAGTTTTTTTTCTTGTCCGTGCAAAACGATGCCCATGTCGTCGTTGAGCTATTTTGCTTGTTCCTAAATGCCATGGTGTACGTCATGATGGGCTTTGTTGTGCTGAAAGTGGCGGTATGCATGGATTGCCGCATTCGGATTAGCGACGTGTGCCTCGAGACGGGGTGGGGGGTTTTGCCAGAAGATGCGGCTTATACTGCATATCCAGGTACGATTGGTGGTATTAACACGGGTGTTTATGATTATGTACACTTTTGTAGGGCTCACGTCCCGCTCGAACCTACCCCGCTATCCTGGACGCCTGATATCGAAATAGATGTGTATGTGTGGAGCTTGCAAAGCCGTCTCCACGTTTGAACGACGAGCCGCTCTTTTCGCTCCAATGATAGCAGCACCGAAGGATCAAGAACCCTCCCTACGGCGCGTGATTGCCGAGTGTATACCCACAAATGTCATGATTGTTGAGTGTCTCGATCCTGCAGCCGCATCGTTCGCTTACCAAGCCTATTCGCACGCACGAAAGCTCAAGTATCCTCTCCTACATACCTAAACAACTAAACTGGAGTGACAGCCCCCTACCAAACTGCCCAATCATTCACTTCCCAGTCAATTAAACAAAAAAAAAAGTCACAAAATGCCAATCCTCCAAATCCTCACCTTCACCCTCCCTTCGCCCTCGGAGGCGGAAGCCTCAGCACACACGGCGCTCTCCTCGCTCAAAAACGCAAAAGCGCCCGGAAACTTCGTTCTCGGCACCCGCACATCCGACAAATCTGCCTTGCAGCTAACATCGGAATGGCACGATCCGGCCGCTGAATTCACGCCCGAAGCAACCAGCTACCGACAAACCGTCCTTTCCACCCTGGGAACACCAAAATCGCTCTTCCATGTCTCCCTCTCCGGCTCCTCGGCGGTCTCTGCGTTCGCGTCTGGCAGCGAGGGCCCCATGGCGAGTCCGCTGGTGGAATACGTTCAGATTTATTTTCCGAGCGGGATGGTTGATGAGGCGTTTCAGGAGAAGATTGAGAGTGAGTTTAGGCAATTTAACGAGATTTGTATGAAGGTTGTGAGGGGAAATGGGGGGTTGAGGTATGGGTGGGTGATGGAGGAGCAGGAACATGAGGGGATAGAGGGGGGTAAGTGTCGGTGTTTTTTTGTGGCGAGGGGGTGGGAGGGGATGCAGTTTTTTGAGGAGGTTGTGAAGACCAAGGAGTACGGGGAGGCGGTAAAGATTTTGTTGGGGTGGGAGGCGCCGTGGGAGCTTTGGCATGTTAAGAGAGAGTTTTAGATGGGCATTGAGTGGGAAGAGGGATGGACGGGGACTGTTCGTGGAAGGGAGGAGATCGGCTTGCGAAATGAGTGTATTTCAAACGCTCACATGTACATTCTCCCTGCGATGGGAGTCTCAACAGGTAGACTAGAGAAACAACAGTGCCCAATTTTCTCGTTCCCGTTCCCGTCCTCTCTTCCGTGTGTAACCGCACCCCATTGCACAGGCAGCAAACTCGCATCTACATCTTCCGGAGGCGCATGGCAAGCCGCACTGATAGCCGCCGAGTTGCTGCCCACGAGCGGAATGCCAGCGGGATACCACAGTCGTCTCGATATAGCACCTCCCAGAGCGATGACACTTGCTAAGACAGTAGTCAAGATAATGGCGATGGGAGAATATCCGCAGGTCGAGATCTCACCCACAATATCTCTTGTATGGGTATCGGTGATCGCGATCTGCACCTTGAAGAAGCTTTGTGACGCAAGCCAGTGAAGGAGGCCCGAGGTGATGGTCATCGGTATTGCGTAACGATAAGGGAGACCGAGCCAGTAGGTGCTGCGTTGTTGGCCAGCTGGCGCTGTAACGCGGAGCGTTTTGCGGTCAACACCGTAGCTTGACCATTCTGCTGCAACTAACATGGTTGTGTAGAGTGCGTTGAAGGCGAGATACAGATATGAAAAGAGAGCTTGTGGGATATTCGCGAGAAGCACACCGCGTAGAAGTGGAGTACGGATATTGAGAAGGTTGTTGCCTTGAATAGCGCCGAAGCCCGTCCGCCATAATGCTCCAAGATCGGAGGGCTTGCCGCGGAGTGAACCAACGATGCATGGAATACTAAAAACGACGAGGAAACCGTAGCTGTCATGTACATTAGTTAGTATATACAGGGACATTGAGCGCACTCACGCCCAATATGTGGCGACCCATCTCCTTTCGCTTGGCGCCATTGCCCACATAAATCTTGTCGGCTTGAACTTTCTGAGGTCTCTTTGATATCCATCGGTTCGGCTTTTTGCAGCCCATTCATTCCAATTCCACCACATTTCGACGTGGCGACGTGTTTGCAAGCATCGTCCTTGCGTAGTCAGATCTGGGTGATCCAGAAAAGTCGCAATTGCGTCGCCTATTGTCACCAGAGCTGCATGGTTCCCACACATGCGGACGGTAAAAGCCATGCAGATGGCCTTGACTGCATTTGCAAGGATTATCAACGCGGCGATAGCAAAGCTGAACTGTAACTCACAGGTCTCGGTGACCTGTTCAACAAGGCAGTATTTGAGATTGCTCTGATACGGTGTCCATTGGGATATATCGCGTGGTACTTCATATTCATTGTTTGTATTACCTTTGAATTATGAATACATTAGCCACAGTTAGATCAAATACTGGATATCGGGAGCTGCTCACATGGTGATGCTGCATGGGAAGGACAGCGCCATCCATTTGATGGATATATCTCTGGACTGCTTGAGAAGGGTAGTGATATGTTGAAGTCCTGGATTTGATATGTGTCGTCGCTCGAGTCGTTTGACCAGGATTCGTTTGTGTGAGGCTCCCATTTGAAGTCGCCTGATTCGAAACGTAGAAGATCCCAAGTGGATGAATTACGCCACACTGTCGCCTCAGCCTGTATCAAGTAAACATTACCTACTGACGAAACATAATGGTCGTCGTAACTATCAAAGCACTGCGATATGCTGACTTTCTTGTACTTGGCCATCATGGTGCCGTTCAACGACATGATTTGTTCATTCAGATCTACCCTGTAAGGCTCGAAATCCGATGTGATTCTGTGCACATTCTCTGTGCTGGAATTGAGAAAGCGACTGTTGTTGTAGTTCCCACCACTCATCCAGTTCTCTGTAGTTGGCAAGACGGCGTAGTCGTTGGCCTGAAGACGCGTAAAGATGACCGAATTGAAGAAAAGATGGAGCGGTACAGAAGACATAAACAGAATCACATATATCAAAACACGATCTCTCCGGATGTACCAAAGGTTTCGTAGGTTCGGAACTCCGATATGCAGCCAGTGGCGCCGGGCATGTGCCTCGTCGACTTCTGCTCTATTGGGTGCAACAAGTACTTGCATGCAATAGTTGCTAGCGGCCAATAGCAACGTGCTTAGGCTCTAGGATTCGCTGTAAGCTGACGATCCCACGATCATGTATCGTAGACCTACATTTACAAGCAGGTGAACCCATATATTAATACTTCTTGTTTTCGCACAATCGCCGCGGTACATGGTACCTACGGCACCGCGTATCTCGTTTCGAGGGTCGGCTCGCACCCAGATCGTGATGCCCAGATTGACAACCAGGACCAAAAGAGCGCCAGCCAAGGATACAAGCGCACCGGTACGCCAACCACTCAAACGGTTTCGATCTAGGTTAGTTCGCATGTGCTGATGTCCAGATCGCGCTGGAAGGAGAAAATCATCATCATCGTGCGACGGCTCTCGGGTTTGCGTCGTGGCAGGGCTGGGCAACCTCAGTAGCGAGTTGGTCCGACTTCCTTCATAGGAGTTTTCTCGTTCTACATCCCTGTCCGTCGGGACATGTCGACTGGTATTGTCAATATCGCGCTGCAGTTGGGAGGCGCGGCCAACCTTACTCATTTGACTGGAGGAGCTCAATATTTTCCGGATCCCAGTTGCCACTTGTCTCAAGAGGCAGTTGTCGGTGCGGGACATCCGCGCGACATGGATTCATAGCGTGAAGGATGGGCAGACGCCAAAAAATCTTACATTATCCGAAGTTTGGTCCTGCAACGGCCATGGGCGGGTATTCGTCTTAAATGCGATGTGAGAGCTAGGCGTCCATGAACCATAAGCTGTGCCACACACACCTTGTCACAAAAAAGAAAAGAGGCGTTGTATGCACTGCCATTGCTGCATTGCCGGTCATGGCTGTGCAGTGGGGGCGGAAAGCAAGCTTTGTGGTCTGCATCTTGACACTACCCGTCCAGTCAATCAGAGACAGCAACGCCCCATGTGCCGATAACCCACTGGGCAGGGTCTCGGCAACTTTCGCATAGCATATGAGAGAAATGTGCGTCGAAGGAAGTAGTCGAAATCATTTGTGGCGAGGGAGAACCTGCGTCCATATAAGGCTAGTATCGCTATGGCCGCTAGCCACATTGGGACTAGACCGTGATGCTACGGAAGGGGCAGACAGGCAGACATTTGAAAAGGCGTCCACATGGAGGCCTGATGCATCACATGAGATATCTTCGACTAAAGTACAACAAAGAAGTTGTGAATGGATTCATCACGGCATACGGCGAGGGTCCTTTCGCACATGAGAAGATTGGAAAGTATGGAACGTATGATGTAAGCTCATTAGATTAGACGACGTGCAGATGTAAAAACACGGCGTATTAGCTATCTACATGCCACCCCTTCAAGACTCTAGTACGAGTCCCTCCTGAACCTCAGCATATTTGCGGTAGCATTCGAGCTAGGTGTCGCCGTAGGCGGGGGCAGCGGCACATAAGGCTCTGTATGCGTCGCCTTTGCCGTTCCATTTGTGCTGTAATCATCGGTAACAACCTTGCTGCCATCGGAAATGATGACATGATCTAGCACACGCTTAAAGTGTTCCAAGCTAGCAACTGGCTGGTAGTATGGCACCTCGTGACCAGCCTCGTAGATCCTGGTGAAAGAGAAGTTGCCGTACTCGCGGACCTCACCGTACTCAACGCCGTCAACGAGGAAAGGCGTGTAGCCGGCTGCGCGGAAAGCTTCCGAGTCGGTGTAGTTGACGGCTAGGGAGACAGCTTCACCACCGAACCAGTTGCAGATGTAGTCGGCGTCACCGTAGAGCATGGCGACGCGGACACCGTAGCCGAGGATCTCCTCGAGGTCTTCGATGAAGTTGGGGAAGACAAAGTCGCCGGTTTGTTGGAATCCAAGTGATACGTTGGGGGCGTTGGTGCTGGTGTAGTTGATGTTGACGCCGATTGCTTCCTGGGTACTGGCGAGGTTGAGGAAGTACTCAAAGTAGTCTGGTGGTGTCGGGTCATCGTAAGGGTGGCGAATGTCGTAGACACCACGGCCGCCGAAAGCGTAGTAGGGCTCTTCGACCAGGGAACGGCACAGGTTAGTGGCAGATGAGCAAGTAAGGTAGCCATCTTCGGTGGTACGATCAGATTGCCTGCAGTACTCAATTTGGTCATGGCAACCTTCGGGCATGTAGTAGGCCTGCTTCATGAAGGTGTAAATGGTGTCGTTGATTGACTTGATGCCGTAGGTGTTGTTGACAGCAAACTCGGGGTAGTAAGGAGCTTGGATCTGCTCATCAACGATACCGTTGATTATACCGAGAGTATCCATCTGTACTTCGACACCAGCAGCTGAGCCATTGCGGATCTTCTCGTTTTGCTGGTAGAAGTAGTTGTAGAAACCCGGGCCGTAATGTCCACCGTAGCTATTCGATTCATTAGCCATCTGCTGACTCAACTTGATTTGATGGGGCGACTTACCTCTCAGTCCACAGATTGAATGTGAAGTTGGTGATATCCGGGTCGAGCTGAGGGCTCAGCTCCAAAAAAGCCTGGAGGATGTGCCACGCACCAACCGCTGCAAAGTCGGTGGTGTTTGCCGTGTCTGGGTCGACAAGCGAGTATCTACCGTCGCTGTCGGTCTCGGTAGTCTCGTATGAGAAACCGACACCCACGGGCTGTGACAGATAGAGCATGTTGCTATGCTCGTTCCATGAGTAGGGGTTCAACTGCGTCTTGAGATCCTCTGTAACATTGCATGGGCCATGTTCCTGGAAGAGACCGATTAGGGAGTCACTTCCCGGTCCACCGTTCAGCCACAATGTCTAGGAGTGGTTAGTGAGAGCGGCAGAAGGCTAGGGTGAGACATGACATACCAATGGCTTTTCAGTGGGGTTCTCGCGAGCCTCGAAGAACCAGAAGAACATGTTGGTCGTCGGGTTCAGGCTGATATATCCGGCATAGTCATCGACACCTGGGGTGGTTTCACACACTCCAGCCTTTCCGGGCTGCTTGTACCTAATCTGAGCACCCTGGGCGGAGGTGATGGTCGTGACGCCAGTAGGGTCAGCGGGTACCTGACGCTCCTTGATGAAAGGCGTACGAGCGCTGCTAAAGCGTCGCAGCCGCCAAGAGGGCAGCAATTTGAGTGAAGCGCGCCATGGTGCAAAAAGCTTGTCGTGCAGAAGAGATAACCAAGGCTTCAGCTATGGCTTGCGCAGTCAACAAGCGGCTCCAAGTGTTTATATAGCCATCTTAGTGCGAAGCTAGACAAGCAGCACAGCCTTCGTCTTTTCCTAATCATGTTCCTCGCATGGTTGGACTACGGACTCAACGTCAGGGTACATGGTCGCCAGGCCGTGAACCGTGTGCCACGGTAAAATAAATTAATCTGCATCAGGCAACTGGAAATAAGGATGATTACGCCAATTGGTCGGGAGAATATGGCTGAAGATCTTAGCGCTGATACGCTGGGATCAATACCTAAAGTTTGGTAGAACATGTGTCGTACGTCACCGGCATAAAGGTTGTGGAACTTGCTGTCCGGTGCTGATTTGCGATACATGCACTGCATACCAAAATCGCGTGGAATGGAGGTTTCACAGCCGCAACCCCCCTGACTCTGATGAGCCTCCAGCCTCACGGCCGTGACCATGGAAACGAGATTTACTGTCTCTCAGTGACTTTGTTCACCGGCCATAGTGAGAGCCGTCAGTAAGGTCCTAGCATGTCGTGCATGCAGCTCTAGCAGCGCTTTACCCGAACAAGAAGCTCGATATGCAAGCTTCTCGGCCAAGATTCGCCGCGCTTCGCGCCGAGGTTAGTGAAGCTTATAAACGTCATTATCTGGGCGTAACACTGAGATATGGGTCGGATTCGGAGGTTGGAGTGGTGAGGCGTGTCGTAGGGGGACCGGAAAGAGGGGAAGTGGCTGGCGTCCTAACCTGCCCCACGCGGCAGGACCACTTTGGTACCCGCGCTAGCTTAGGTCGGCAGGTCCGCACGCATCTTTATCGCAACGTTGGTGCTGTTGGTCGGCTACAGGTTAGACACGGCATCGTGCTGGAAGCGACGGGGATACAGGAGGTATTAGCATGTTTTCTGCTGTCATTTTCGTATGTGTACGTGTGCACTCAAAAAGGAAGCCAACTACACGGAGGATTATGAAAACAACCCACTCGCTAACGGACTTTCAGAAGTCCGTGATATAGAAACAAGGTAGCAATAAGTAGTAAGCACTTGAATCTCAACACTTTTATACTTGCATCGTATCATCCCAGACGAACTTCCACTCAGTCTTCTCCTCTGCCCTCTTCACCAACTTGACATTCACATCCCAGTCCGGCTTCGGCATCGCGTTCCACAAATCTGCATTGCGCTTCGTCGGAGCTGCCCACTGTCCGGCTGCCGGCAAAACGTCATACTGCAGTACAACCATTGCGACTAAGCTGAGGATCACATTGGTAGAGAAATGACGACCTGGACACATGGTTGCACCAGCCCCGAAAGGTCGAAATGCTGATGTACTGGCAAGATTCTTCTTGAAAGATGCGGAGAGAAAGCGGGTATGGTCGAATACGATTGCGCTTGAACCCCAGATGTCGGTGTTGTGGTGAATGCTTTGGCCCGGTATCATGATAACAGCGTCCTTCTTAAAGAGGTATTGGTCGGCTAGCTTCGTGTCCTGCTGAACCTGCTTTATGTTGATGACAGTGCTGTGGTAGCGTAGGGTCTCGTGGAGCATTGCCACAAGAGTAGGACATTGTTCTTTGATGCTGTTGAGTTTGAAAACTCGCGTCTTAGGGGCCGTATCGCTTGTCTCGGACTCGTCACTTGCAACGGCATGCAGCTCCTCGCGAATGATTCGTACGGCATTTTCGTTGGAAAGGATGTGGAATATGAGCCAGAACACGGTTACGGCGCCACTGCTGAGCATAGCAAGCGAGGTTGCCATCTCCATCTTGGCCGCTTCATCTGAAGAGAGGCCATGGCCCATGTTCATGCGATGCATCTCAGCGACCATTGGAAACGCTTCCAGGTGACCACCTTTTGCAAAGTACTTTCGGAAAGCGGCGATAACCCGACTTCTCGCGCGCATCGCTTTGCGTGCCGTTAAGAACGGGAAGGGACTGTACAAAAGGTGCTTGATGCCGGGTACGAACTTCCTTCTTGCTGTCAGCCAATGTTCATCGCCTCGGATAGTATAGCAGTCTGCCGGTCTGCCACAAAAAGACTTACCGCCAGCTAGTTTCAATGTCTGGGTCATCATAAGGGTTCTCGGGTCCATATATTGATCCAGTCATTGCAAGCGTGAGCTGATGCTGAACTAATGCCATTAAGCCATCTTCACGTCCATCAAAAAAGTCGTTGGGCAGGCTAGCGCTCAGTCGATCAACTGCTGATCGAGTCGCAGCATTAAGAGGCGAGCCAGACAAAAGGTATTTGTGAACGCTGGTAGTAAATCCATTGCCTTCCGACTTGAATGCTTTTCGTAACATCTTTTGTGAGTTCTTGTTCAACCCGCTGAATAGCATACCGAAGTCCAGAAGATTTGGCACGAGTATAGTAGCGTTCGCTTTGCTCTGAATTGTTCGGATCAGGCTAGGTGTATAGACGACATATAGCCTCTGGAAAGGCATCCTCAGCGTAAGTATTGGCATTCCATGTTTGCTCCTGCCAACCATTAGTGTGAGCATTCTCGGAGGGTCATCCAATAAGATAGCTTACCGTATAACGCTGAGATAGCCAGCTCCGTGGCGTAGGATACCAATAGCCGAGTCGAAGAACGGGACTCTAGTCTCCAATAAACATGGTTCTTCCTTGCTCTGAGTGCCATGTAGCAGGACTTGTAAGATGAGGTAGGCGATCACTGCCACGGCAACGGTTGCTGCCAAGATAGAATACATGTTGGTCTTTGATCAGTTTCCGAGGTTGAAGATACTGTTGCTTCGGAGATACTGTTGCTTCGGTTGGCAAGTCACCCAGATGGCTTGAGGCTTTTATGCGCCATTCCCGTTGAACCTTTCTTATCATGGCCGTCATCTCATGACTCCTTCAGCGGGGATGGAATACACCATGTTCAGTCGGCGATAGAAACATCGGTATCTAGAAAGAATCGCGATGCATGGGCTTGTTCGCCAGATGCCTGACTTCACCGATAAGGGACTGTAGAACCTCAGCCTGTGTTCTGGAGCCTCAACGGAACATGCCAAGTATGGCTGGACGTGAGCAAAGAGGACCAATAAAATGGCCGAGTGTGACCGAGAGCCATGACCAACGCTGCAAACAGTCGTCGCCTTCGCTGACATTACCAGAATCAGAGCGACAACCACATGCGTGTACATATCCGAGGACCCAATATCTCATCGTACGACTGAAGCAAATATCACAAGATTGATGTTGTATGGAAGGACCTAAGAATATCGCCGACTCGCTTAAAGTCCACGGGGGCGAAAGCGGGTAGACGCTCGACCCACGAGACGGGCAACAAAGAGACTCTCGTCCAAAACCAGGCAGGTAAACGGCGAGTAGTCAAAGAACACTAACGAGGAGCGAAGCAGAACGTGTGCCCTGATTAAGCGAGAGAGCAAATCCCATTACCTTGGTGCTGGAAACGGGCGTGTTCCTTGCCGTGGCAGAACTTTGACGAATGCGTTGGCTTGCTACTGACGTCTTCGAGGCGACCTTTCTTGTCGGTACGGCGAACAGAGTTGGGGAATGATGTGGTCATGTGGGTGGGGACTCTCGGCAGTCGGTTTGAAGTAGGATTACTCGGTGCTGGTATTTGCAAGGCCAACAGACTAGTACAGTCAGACTTAGCCACAATGTTAATGCGTACTGTTGTCGATTGTAGTCAACTCAAGTTCAGTGATGGGGGGTTACTGGGTAATCTCGAAACCGATTATTGTCTGGTCGGTGGTTGGTGATTACTAAGACCTCCATAGCTAGTTATAGCACTGATGGGTGGAGCCAGGTATCTTTCTTTGTAAATCCTTTCACCAGTCACGGGGACGAGTGTTGTGCGCGAGCCCTGAACTTCGGCCTTCGTTACATCACGTCCCCAGAATCGATGTCTTACCGTCTTCTAGATATCCGTCAAATGTGCAGAGTTCAATGCCCCACAGTAGCCATACTAGGCAGATCTCCTCATACGTTTGCCGGCGCAAGAAAACTAGGCTGTTTAGTCCTAAGCATGCGACAGGGATTTGATAAAGAAAAGCATCACTGTAGCGGTAGGAGAAGCGCCGGACATGATTCGCAGACGCAGTGTCTGGTGATTACTTTGAACGGTATATAACGCCGGGTCATGCTGACAGTATAGTACATTTTCGTACAGTGACGCGAATCGCGCAACGGCCTGTGATCGGCTGCCGAACGGACATTGTGTCTGTCACGTCCCGTTCCTTGTGCGGTAGATAATGTCCGTCTCACATGTCTTGTAACTTTCCGCTGGTACGTTCGTCGATCGCCGAATTTGATGGTGTCGTATGCGCTCGTTTCGTGGATAGTGGGCGGATCATTTCTTGCCGCGTTTCGCTTCCAGGAAAAGTACCTGTTTTCGCACTGCATGCTTGTCAGCGATGACACTGCGACTGTGACGGTCCATCATAGCCCCCACGATACCATTCTCGGCTCTTCATGTGGTCAAATTAGGGTTTGGGTTGTGGAGGCAGGCGCGATGCTTGGTGGCTGTGGAAACGGAAGGAGCGAAGGAGTCGTACCGATGGGGTCGTATTTCAGCATACTCAGAGGTTGATGCGCACGCGGTCTTTGCATCGTTCGGTAGTAGCCCGTCATGGCCATTGATATGAGGCGTACCATGATGGTACGGGACTTTGCTGTAAGGTACCGCTGTCAGCGCACGTTGTCGGGGACAGTGGAGGGGCATGTGGCCGTTGACAAACGGCGCTGCACGGTGCGCCACAGCAGACTGTGAAAGCAGAGAGTGTTAATATACCTTTCTTCGCCATTGCGACGCGCAATTGTGTGGAGTGCCGGCGTCAATGGTGGTAGTGTCGAACAGTATGACTTGAGCGTTGAAGCGGAAGTTCTGCGGCACCATGTTCGCCAACCAATCAGAGCTCATTGAGGTCCCATCGTCATCACTTTGGCGGCGTCGCGGATTTTGAGCAGCTTCATCTCTTCGTTTCCTTCCAAGTGCGGGACATGCGGGCATGCGCTGTGAGGGTCAATCCGGTCCTCTAGGTGTTGTAGTCGTCTTCCGTGGCTGCAGCTGTCGTGTGGGTCAATCGTGTGCTGCATGATTTCTCTCATGCTTTCGAAGGCTCACTCATGCTTTCAAGTCTTGAATAATTAGACTTCTCCAGATTTCAGCTGTACAACTGTCATCTTCCCACAATCATGTCATCTAGTGATTAGCATGGCCCCTGCACTAAGGATGACACGCGAACGGCATGCAGGAACGGAATAGGGAAGCTCAAAACGACAGACTCCAAAACCCATTTAAATTACTATAACAAATGTCGGAGCAAGGAAATCCGGTAGCCACGATGGAAACGTCCGTCCACGCAGCGGGGCCACGGCATATCCTTGCGTCCTACATCGCCTTGTCTTGAACATATGCTGTGTACGGTGCATGTTGGCAAAAAGAGCTGGTAAAAGGATGTCATGTCCTTGTTCTTGACGGAGAGGCATGCATTCGTTTTACTCTAGGCAGCGTGCAGTCTGGGAAAGGCTATGGCCTTGCGGCAGCTAGTCCCTCATGTGCTGCCCAAATGGGGGATTTGGTAGGAAAACCCGGGAGTGGGAAAAAAGATTGGAGATAAAAAATTATACAGATGTCGAGGGTATCGTAGGAAATGAGGAGGAGCGCAGGAATAAAAGAAATATGTGCAGACCTTACTGGTATCTTCGTGGTCTTGAAGAGAGTCACGTGGCGGTATGTGGACCTCCATACCACCTCAAAACAAAGACGACGGTCGTATGTTGGCTCGATGTAGTCTCCAGAGCTCCACAGTATGTAGCAACTCTGCAAACATCGATGAGTCTTCCAGAAAACCAAGGTCGCGGTCATCGAACATTCTGGAGTCTGCAGCTGCGCCAGCGCAGCTGCACGGCAGTGAATGCATAGAACAGCCACCAAGTCAGCACAATCCCAAATACGTGACCATCGGAAGCAAAAAGAACAAGACTCACACGTCGTCAACGTTCGCCCTACTTTCATGGCTGGTGTTCGAACCACTCACTATCCAAAGTCTAGCCCAAAAAAACACCAAGAAAATAGTGCATCTCTATGATTGAGCGTGTCATCCTTAGTGCAGGGGCAATGATAATCTTCTCTGTATCTTTTCATTGATCAATTGCCCGGAGGCGAAGACTGGTTCAATTGTAGTGTATATATAAGGCGATATGTCGTTGTGGTGTGTGGCGGGCGATCTTGTCGCGTGCGCGCAAACAAGGCAGCAAACTTGCATGTGACACATCCAGAAACATCAAAATGCCTTTTGAGATGACGTAGGCAGTTCTGGGGGCTTCAACAGTCATTGGATGCATATACTGTATAGGGTCAGTGAGGTGAGGCGATGAACTTACTTGCCTTCGATACGATGGGGCACCGATTACACCACCTGCTGACCACTGTGAGACGCCTTGCGTCAATGCTTTGAAGCAGCCTTGGGATGTGTTTTTCTTACGATATCTTGAATGCCGTGAAGACATGTCGTTGGTCGCGCATTTATCTGGTATGTCGTCTATTCGCGCATTCGTTGAATTGACAGGTAATCGACACCACAGGCTTAGGCCCTGCATCAAAGACGACATTGGAACAATCCGCAACACCAAGTCGCAAGCTCGAGAGGATGGATGCTGTCGCCACAAATAGAAGGACGTCGAAATGGATCTTCAGGGTGCCGATCCAGTTGCAGGCTTCGGGATGATACCTGTCGCAATGTCATCGAGTGCGCCTGAGCTAATATGAAGAAATGAGCTGACATTAACTTGGCTACCGCTAGCCCAGGCGATTTCCGCGTGAGACGAGACTGAACACCTGACAGTGTCGAAGCTGGCAGTAGGAACAGGAAGTACTAATCTCTTGCATCGGATACCAGAGGTGCGACTTCCCAGCGAAGCACTTCCACCCCGGACGACACCTCTCAGTTGCAGAACGATTCAATCGTCCAGAAAATCACGCACATGATAGGCAGGGTGTATGCGGTTAGGATGATGTTGTCTTGAAGGTGACAATGTACTTACCGTCAAGTTTCGCAGCAGTCAAGGAACTCATGTCGGAAGCAGGAGGCACCATGCGGTTAGTATGGTGATGCTTCGGAGGAGTCGTGTTGCTTACCGTCAAATCTCGTCAGTCGAGTCGCAAGGTATAAGCGACGACATGCGGTTAATATAGTGCTCGTTCGAGGGATGCAAGGTACTTACCGCCAAGGTGTTGAGACGGTTGTGAAGGAGATGAGCAAAGACAAGCGGTTAGTATGCAACTGCCGCGAGGGTACCGAAGTACGTATCGTCGGGCGATGGGATACAAGAGTGAGAAAACTCGGTAGAGCTCTCTTCAAGATCATGTAATCGATGGTTCTTCAATTTAGTGCGCCAAGGATGGGTACAGTGGTACTATAAAGGAGATGAAAATCTTAGCACGCACACCAAAGAATCCATCTCCTATATCTCCCATAACAAAATGAGCCGCGCGACCATCAAAGCCAAGCTTGCAGCCAAGTGTCGAATGATGGCCGCAATGAGAATAGTCGGAAGCGGAAAGGTTGATTGCGAGTATGGGACGCCGAATGATTAGAATATTGCTGTCTCAAGGGTTTCGCTGTACTTACCACCGGAATAGTCGTTGAGACGGGCGAAGTAGACGCAAAGGAGCCGGAGCCGGGGAAGTAACCATGTTTTGTGGGTATACCCGCGGTTAGGGTGATATTGTCTCAAAAAAAGAGCGAAGTGCTTACCGTCGAGCATTTCGCGGAGGCTGTTAGAGGCAAAGACGGCTTATGCGAGGAGTGAACGGCATCGGATGTATGAGACTGGCGGATACATGTTGTCGTGAATAGCGCGAAGCTTTCAGCATCGACCTGCCCAGGCCAATACGACAAATGCGAAAAGAAGAAGAAGATTCAAAAGAGGAGGAGTGCGGTTAGGATGATGTTGTTTCAAAGGGAGCGAGGTACTTACCTTCGAGCGGCTCGCAGTGCGCACTTGCGAAGGAGATGAGCGTGGAGATGTCTCCCATTATGGATAATGGGAAGCCGTACGGTTAGCAGTATGTCCGTTTCGAGGGTGGCAAGGTATTTACCGTCAAGTTGCTGTTGCGAACAGCTGGGAGGGAAAGGGCGGGGGAGGCGAGGAGGAGAGAAGATACCTGTTTCACCGCGCGTTACAAGTGTTCGAACGTTGAAGAGGGAGGGGAAGGTAAGTGAAGGGGAAAGGCAAATGGTCAGGAAAAAAGTTACGTACCGGGGAGTGACCTCGCCTCCGAAGCACGAGGCCACCCAAGGTGAAGCCGTCGCTCAAGATCTCCTCGCGGAATCGAAGTGCAGCAGCAGAGTTCCATCAAACTCCTGACCGTATCCAAAAGTTATATGAATGTATGGATGAGAAGAGACCAAACATTCCATGGCCCGAAGGCGGAAAGCTAGGCATGAAATCCACGCCGCCGGCACCCAGGTTGTCCAGTATGTCGTCGCGAAGTCCGCAGAGCAGAAACGATCGGACACGAGGAGAGAAGCTAGAAAACCTCGCTGGACCCTAGGTATTTGGCAGCCACTCATCTCGGGAGTCGTTCTGTGAGACGTCACTATGTGGCAGTGGTCTCGGGTAAACGCAACTCCCTGGTTGTGTTTCTCTTGGGACAGGGACAGCCAAGTTTGGCAGGATCCGTAAGAAGACAGCGAAGTTCTGATGAGGAAGAAAACAAGGAATCGGGACTACTGGTCAAATGAAGGAACTCACAATATAGTTTTGTCCGTTGCGGACGCTCGGGTTCGGTGACGGAGAAGAAAGGTGGGTAAATAGGATCTGGAATGAAAAGACAGCGAAGTTCTGATGAGATAGAGGACAAGGACTCGGGGATGTTGGTCAAAAGAAGGATACTCACAACGTAGTCTGTCCGTTTTGGATGCTCGCGGTGGGTAGCGGAGAAGAAGGATGGTAAAATCTGCAGGAGAAGACAGCGAAGTTCTGATGAGGTGGAGGACAAGGACTCGGGGCTACTGGTCAAAAGAAAGACACTCACAGTATTTTATTGGTCGTTGTGGATGGCCGTTCCAAAGATACAATCATTTCTCTGCCAGAGGCGGATTCAGGTACGTGATCGAGCCTGACGAGCAGACGGTGGTGGGTGATGCAATGCAGGCGGGTGCTTGGATGGATGGTGCGAGGAAACCAAGGAGAGCCAGTCAAAAAGGCTGAAGTCGTATACGCGGGAAAACCAGGCGAGCAGGCATGGATAAAGATCGTCAGTGATGTGCCTCTGATCTCGAGCAATTGGTCGGAAGTACTTACAGCGATGGGAAAGGGGAGCGCGACGCGCAAGATACATATCCAAAGTCAGTGGGGGCCATTGTCTTCGAGCAACTGGTCGGATGTACTTACAGCGCGTCCGAAGGCGAATTCTACCTGAGTATGAAGAAGTGACCTTCATCAAATCGTTGCCGGAGACAGTGGTCGAGATACCGCCAGGTCCAGATCCTGACCTTTGGTGTTAAAGCTGACGAGGGGTGCTGCCATGCTGTATCGCACATGCCAAAATGGTGCTTGCCAAATACCCAGGGAATATTGCCAAAGTGTTAGCTGTGGAATCTAATAGAGGAAGAGATGGTACTTACCAAAAGACCAAGAAGAAGAATAAGGAGCTGATCGTCGAACACTGCCATATCACACATCACATACGCAATCAAGGATACTGAGTATGGAAAAAGGTTTTCTGTGAAAGGTTAGCGAGTGCTGACAATGAATAAGGTAGTGGGGATACTCACATTCTCTAGCACTACTCATCCAACAGGAGAGTTTCTCACAGGTTCGACTTTGTGGAGCACCTAGTGAATGGTCTCAGGAAGCAGACCTCGAATGTAAACGTTGGTCTCGCCAGTCTTCATCCTCATAATTGCCTTTGCGAGCGAAACATCTCCGATGAGCCGATGTTTTGCTCGTCAATCTCCAGTGTCCTGGTGGGCAGATCGTCCATCCAGATGCCCGTTTGGCACCCATAAAACAGTTGATGCTTGCAGAAGCCATATAGCACCCAGGTCGTCCCCAGCAGAGGGCTACCGCAGTGGCATCCCAACGTGATCGGGCTGGTGCAGCTGCCTCGGGGGCTTTGATTTCCTCAACTGCGGGTGAAGAACGCTCGACTTAAGAGTAACATTGGGCTCTTCTGTGGAACAGATTCAATTGTTCCAGTATCATCGGAACGTACTGGGAACACAACGGGAATACCACCTCCCACTGGCTTCTTGCCAGTCAGGTCAGCAGCGTTGCTCAACCACCATAGGTGTTCCGTTCCGTCTTGCCCTCATTGCTCTTCCAGCTAGTGACGGTAGCTCCAAAGAGCAGCAAGGAAACGCTCAGACTCTTTGCCAGAGCCGTTGTTCCACATCTCAGACGGGACAAGATGGATGAGATAGGCATGGAAGAGGATGTCCTTGTCCGTGGGAGGAGGTGTGGTAGTAGGAGAAGGAATCTTCAAGTTCTTGATAAGACCGAGGGTGGTCTCAACACCACCACGATCTTTGATCTTTCGTTGCGGTGGTGTTCGCACCACTCGAGCACCTTCTTCATGATAGCCTCGTTGATCTGCGACTTGTTAGTAACTATGCTTCGATATAGAGGAGATGATGAGGGGAGATACATATGATTGAGAACGAAGCGGACTCCTGATGTTGCCTTGTGCTTGTTATTACTAGGCTTCGGCCGTTAAGCTGGACATCCTCCATGTCGTCGTCTGCGTCGTCGACGGCGATGGAGCTGACGTAGTCGCCGCTGTTTTCGCCATAGAGCTCCTTATCACCTGCCCCTGCAAGCGATTGTTTGTTGTTGGATGTGTCCCCATCGGCAGCGCGTATAAAAAACCTGCTCAACAAGGAAATGATCTTGTAGGGAAATTAAAGATATTTTCCAACTCTTGCAATCCCATTCGTGGAGTAGCAACCAGCTTTGCGCCGTTGGCCCTCGTGCACGAGGGGCCCGGTGGTCAGCTGGGGGTTGCTGCTGTCTATTGACATTGTTAATGTCAGGCGAAATTGTCGCTGGCAACAACAGGGTTATGACCAGTCTGGACCCTGGTATGAGACTTTGGTGATATGTTGAACAGCAATCTGCTCCCAGGGTCCAGACTGCTCCCAGAATAGCTGAGAGATCAGCATTGGCTGGAATGTACCAGGCAATTCGAATCCACGAGACCGCTCAAGTGACTTCTTCCCAATCAACGGTCTCGTTGCGCGTTAAGTTCTTGGGTACAGGAAGTAAGGACGTGTCATCCTCTTTCAGTCCCACAAGCTCCTTCGCAGCTTTTGCATCTTCTTCAGTATCTTTCTTGTCATCGCCCTTGCGACTGTGAGAAGCCTTAGCGTCGCGGAAGGATCATTCTGTTGTTACCTCGTGTACGAGGGTGGGTCCTTCAACGCCTTTTTCGCCAAATCATGCATGTTCTTCGGCATCGTGGCTGAAAACAGAATGGTCTGACGATCGGGGCGGATGTCGGCAAGAAATCAAGATTGACGCTCAAAGCCCATGTCGAACATGCGACCAGCTTCGTCGAGAACAACGTAAGTGATGCGCTTGAAGCTGAGCACTCTACCATAATTACTACATGATTTGTTAGCTGCGTGTCCGAATTTAGGGGTAGGTATAGGTACCTACCTGGTAGATCAACTCGGTTTGCTTTGCACAAGGTTCTTGATCCGGAACTCTCGCTCGGCGACAGCGCGCTCCTTAAAGTGATGAATGTAGGCAGAGGCATCGTCGGCGAGCTTTGTGCCTTGCGCACTGTTCTGGCTCTCTTGCAGTTGGCAACAGTAGATCCCAGTTGTGACCTGTCGTGTATACTGGAGCTCTGTCTGCCGTCAACCTCTTGCGAGTTCTGACGTTACCAGGAGGCGGGGACGGGGACCCAGAGTCAGATTTTGCCTCCCGCACTGCAATGTGTTAGATCAATGAGGGGCTGGGTATACGTACGTGTTGTGGACACTGAGTCACACCATGGAAGATGTGACAGTGTTGATGTGACCTGCTGCGATGGTGTGTCAGTCAAGGAAAAACGGAAGATAGAAGGGGGTACTTGCCAGCCATGCCACGCATGCTTGTTGTGATGGTGATTTAGTGAGATAGAACGAAGACGTAGTATGTTGGACGGGTGTGCGGATGTGCGGATGTGTGGAAGTCGATCGAAGGTGGGGATGAGAGGCCAAGGCCAGTCGAGTAGCTGTACTTGGTAGTCAGTCAAGGAGCAGAGATGAGAGAGGATGACACTTAATGATGAATAGCCTCAGAAGCAACTCAAAAGCTGTCGGACTGGCTTTTGCGTTACTGAAGCAGCCCACTCGACGCGGTCAAATGGGGGCGACAGTGACAGCTGGAGGTGAACTGTTAGCTACCGAAGCACTACGACAAAGGAATTGTAGTAGTAGCTGAGAGCAGGATGGGTTTGAGCCTGTGTCAAAGGTACTTACAAGAGTCTGCCTGGCCTGCCAAAGCGGGGTAGCCACTCGACGAGCGACAGCCTGGGCCAGCGAAGTTGCTGCCGCCTGGAGACCGTGAGGTAGAATATGACTCGCCGCAGTGAGTAGAATATCTGGCTCGTGTTGTTAGCCAAATACAGAGGCGGGGCGAGGAAGGGGCAAAGCTGTCAATGTCAGTGCCAAAGTTGGCAGCTGACCGGCGAAAGATCGAGCAGATACGTTGCAGCAGTGAACGGCTGTAGCGGAGGGTGTGGATAGAAGTAAGAAGCTCTTGTGGCTATGAGAAAAGGCAATTAGAAGACAATTTTGGGCGGCGGGGCTGGGTGTAAGTGGGAAGTAGAAGAGAGAAAGTAGGTGGGGTAAAAGATTGCTTATATGGCGTGGCCCCTGTGAGAGATAGCGGAGGTGACGACGAGTTTCTCGCCAGAAGTGTCATTGTGGGGAAGAAAGAGAGACAGAGAAGGAAAGACAGGGGTCTAGGCTGTTGGCCGCAGCACGGTACAACACCCACTGAGCCACTGCAACACCAGGGAAAGATATAGGAGGTTCAGAATTGCATCTTTAGATAGCTATATACTCTATGAATCTCCTCACGACTTACTGCAGCCTCTTATTTCTGTTGTGGGTTGCTGATTTTCAACTTCTCTGGCCGTGACGCTAGTGAGATGGTGCCCCAGAGCTGCCTCACCACCATGGCCTGTGCCAAGCCCTACGCTTGGTGAGACGCCTTCAGACCATAATGAGCTGTATGGAGATGAACGAAGTATATCTTGTATAGAAAAGCCTCCCTGGCTGCCATGTAGTCCAGTAGCACAAGAACTATGCTGCACAAATCTGGAAGCTTTGAGACAGAGACGAGGCAGAGAGCAAAACAACTCAAGGCTGCGGCATGAGAAGTACACCAGAAAGCTTTATGGGCACATGAAGTTCTAGTCATTAGCAACACCATGCCCACAAGCCCCTGATGCTTCTAAATGTAACAACACAGCGATGTGGCTGGCGACATAACCAATCTCAGACTGTGTGGCCTCTGCAGCCCTTTCTGGAACACCTGGTGCCCCCCTACAGACTTTGTCATGATTTCAGAAGATAGACTCGTCTCTCTCTGTGCTTGGCAGAGAGCTGCATCATGCTTGCAGGGAGATCAACAGGCAGATCAAGACGGCGGCGTGGCTGATCTCAAGTTGCATGGCCTCCGCTGTGTCCTCCGCAACACCAGAGATCCCCATCTCTGCAACAAGATTGTCATGATCCCAACCACCAACCCCTTCACTACCCATCTCTCCCAGGCAACCTCATACTCAGACCCTACGGTACCCGAACGGCGACGACGCACGCTGCAGCATCATCGCCAGCATACCATACCATGAAGCAACGGTCTAGCGGCGACGCGATCAAAGGTACAACCAAGGCCAGGGTGACAGACGGACATAGGCATGCTTACAAACTCTTGCAAGGGAACATAGGACAACAGTAGACAAAGAAGTGAAGAATCTACCATTGCTACCTAAGCGTCACTAGTTGAGCATGCTCACAGTCGATTTGCTTCGAGCTCCACGACATCCACTTTCATACCCCTCCAACTTGGCGCCACCATACACAAAGTCCTCGAAATTTTGCAACGGCGTAGAGCTTTTACAATTCTTGGTGGCAGCATACTATTGCCTGAAAAGCCCGTGGCACCGCGCCAATAACAACAATGCGGAAATGGTTCGCTGTACACCCGAAACACCAAAACAACAAAAAAGGCATACCTGGAGACTCGAGACGCGAAGGTTTTCGGCGAATTATCTGGACAATGTTTCGGGTTGTATCCTAACACCAGGGTGCCAGGGCGGGTGTGCGAAAGCCACCTCTGTGGTGCTAAACGCAGGCTGGCAGGATCCTGGGCACCTTCTGCGTGGAAACATTCATGGTAAGCAGCTCAAGACACAAAGCGCCTAATCTCTGCTGACATGAAAACATTGACCTCTCTAGTCGTGTAGACCGAAGCCGCCGCATGAGTGCCACCTCCGCTAGTCAACAACTCCATGTTCGCCACAGCTCGAAAACGCACCACATCCGATACGACCCATACAACGGGCATGGCAGAAGTGGCGAGGCTACGAGAGGAAACACTATGGTTATCCATAATTGGATATCACAGCGGTAATTTGCGGCGGGAAGCTGGAGCGGCGGCAGCGCCAAATGGCCTTTCACATGCTCTGAGTGTGCGGAGCAGCATTCGCAACTCCATCGCCGGAATTTACTGCGCAAAGAAGGTCGTCCCTACTCGAGAGCTTCTCTTACAGACCTCGAATTCCTCCCGCGAACCATCCTGCCCATGAGCAATCCGTCTCGCCGTAATCGACATTGAGCGAAACAAACCCCAAAGCGATGACGCAGAATATTCCGAGGGAAAGGACACCGACGTAACAGGAAGCAGAGAGTAATTCCATGCATAAAAAATGACGACGAGAACCCGTAATAACCTCATGGCAGCAGCAGGGCCCGATGAGTGGCTTTGGTTGTCCATCTCTGTCTGCAAGCATGAAGTTGACGAGAACAACAGGCCTGTCCAGCGCATATTATTTTTTTCGGAGCACAGAGATTGGACCGTCTCCGTAGCAGCAGTCCTCGTGCGATACCTTCTCTTGCGCCTAAAGATAGCCTTCTTGGGCCCGCGGACTCCAAATCTTCGAGATGGCCGACCAGAAACGGCAACTTGAGGAAACAAGACGACGTAGACAAGAGACTGAAAAAGACAAGACGAGGTACGCAACGAGATCATGTTCACATCAAACCCAAATAGTTGTAGAAATTGGTAATGAGGAGTCAGAAACCTTCGCGCAACCCGACTCTTTTTTCCCGGCGACGGCAACGGCGAGAGCTTCCTTCGAGCGACCGGACATACCGAGCGACCCTACTCTCCAATGTACTAAGCGTTTCTGCCACGATCCGATCGACGATGGTCAACAACAGGGCGACAAAGGCATACAAGCGCGTCACGGAGACCAGAAAGAAAAGTGTCTTGGAGATGATGCGGTGCATACCTTCAGCACACGGGCACAGGCTGTGCCAGGTCCAACCGGCACTCTACACATGGCGGCCTCCAAACAGGGCATGCGTACGTTGAAGAACACAGCTCATAGAGACGCACCTGGTGGTGGTCCGATGCGACACCAGCTGCCCAGAATACCGCGCGTCCGAGTATCTTCGTAACGGCATTCGCGAATTCCAAGCAAAAGCACATCCTAGATGCACTATAACGAGGAATCTCGGCGGTCGGACGAAACGGAGTATCCGAGACGCATCGTGCCTGGTCAACAAAGCGAACACAAAGAAGATATCAAGGTACATGGTTCCTGGAGTTCCGCTTTGCTATGCGCGTGTCTTCATCGCTCGCCCGTGTTGAACGCAGCGATGGCATCGCGACGGCGCGGAACGATGAGGCTTGACGAGGGCAAGACGCCCCTTCCGGCAAACATCAGCTAACCCTTTTCGTGACACAGTCCCGGCTCTTTCTCGGTCTTTCTCGGACGAACGCGCGAACGCGAACATCGTCGAACATTCCCCTCATGCCCGGAGGGAAGTGTCGAAAAACATCGGTGAAGCTCTCGTCGAAATCGTGTAATTGATGGTTCCTCGATTAGTACGCCAAGTTTCGGTACCATGGTACTGGAGAGGAGATGGAAATTTCGCGCTCACGCGAAGAGATCCATCTTCCTCATGCCCGGCAAAGTTCATGAACGCAGGACGGGTCAGTCATATGCCTCTCCTGGTCCATGGGATGATTCTGGCAGAGATTGAGTGCTGTTCCGTCTTGCGAAGACGTGGATTGATTGCCACTTTCAAATGCCTGTCAAAGTCAAGCGCGAAAAGCCTCAGCTGCAGCTGTAGTCGAGCATACTTACCACCGAAGAAGACGTGGCAGGAGACTCCATTGTCGACTGGCCCAAGAAAACGCGGTACCACAGTAACGCTGTGGTAGCCGCGCGCGATCTGAAACCTCTTGTCAGCAAGATCCATTAACTATGTATGCTGTAATGGTAGGTGAGGACAAGTTGCTCAGGTAAGATAAAAGGCTGTCGTCTCTCTGTCAAGATCATTCTCTCGCGGCCGTGCGGCCTATAACTACGTGTAATGACCTTTTCGAGGAGTCTCCACCGAGAGAGGATAAATCATCTTTGCAAGGGTAGGGAAGAAGGAGGGTTATTGTACATACCGTTAATTTGGTATGGCTAAGCCTCATGAGTCACAGATGGTGTTGCCCGGGATGCGCAAACCGAAGGTATGGGAGCTGCGTGCGCCGAGGGGAGATTGGTATAGCTGCATTGGCGAAAAGCTGAAATGGCGAACAGTTCATTCCCCGACGAAGAGCAGCGATAGCTCCAATCTGGACTCATCATGCGTTAGCAAAGCTCGGTCAAACTCTGAAGTAACAGCATCGAAAACATTTAAAGTTACTCAGCCATAAACCGAGCATGGGTACTTAAAACAGTCTTGACTACGGTAATCTTGCGATATTATCCCGGAGTCCCCTCTGGTTACAGGTGATCCGTGTTTATACACGCGATCCGTGTCAAAAACCATATTTAGACATTGAAGAACAGACTTTCGGGGCGACAGATTCATCTTTGCAACTGCTAATAGGGACAAAAAAAGAGTTATGGGCTTACTACAGATACTCCATTATGGCTGGACACGGGATGCGACGACATAGCACGCCTGACTACATTCCGGATATCCCAGCATTCTCAGAGCGAGGGGAAGGAGATTTGACTTGGAAGCTGAGGTGTCTAGACCGACACACCAGTACTGCTTGCGGTCAAGCAGTGAGATCGACGACGAGGCTCAACGAGCATGTGCGATATACGGGCGAAGATCGGAGCCGGTCGAGCATGGACTAGTCACATCCAAAAGTTCTGCAAAAGTTCAGCCACAATCTCGACACCAAAGTCAATAGCAATCTCGATGAGAGGCGCTCAGATATTCTTTTGGCATCATGGGATATCAGCAAGAAAAACCAATTGTTCATTACGGCGCTAAGTAGTAGTTAAGACGGGGCGCAAGTACTCACAAGGTTGAGGCTGCCGAATCCCGGATTTCACCACGGATCTTGAAGACCTAGATATGTATCAGCTGGTATCTAAGACGATGCGAAACGGTTTTTAGCGAAAAAAGATCGCCCAGAAAGAGTAATTTCGTACTCCGAGATATTCAGGAGACAAGGTCCTCGACATGTTGCGTAGAGCGGATACAAGCCTCGATGCCTGGCACGCAGTCTACTTCCTTTTACCAACGTATTTACAGCGGGTTTCGAAAACCAGGCATCGTTGCGATGAGTGAAGAGGGAAAGAGATGGAAAACTTACAGACGATATTCGGAAGCGTCGGTGTTGTCGCCGGTGATTAGACATCTATTGCTCTCGGTCAGTCCAGCTTAGCAAGAGTGACGGACTAGCATTGAGTGATGGAAAGACATCAGAAGGTGTGTGTTTTCATAGCCACATGCGGTTGCACGTGCCAGCTTCTCCCGTACCACCAAGGTACGTCCCCTCAATAATAAGAGTGATCATCATTGTCGACTTGTTGGGAGGTGGAGGGAAGTGCTTACCTATGCGGAGAAGGGTTTCATGCTCGCCAGCACTCGTACTGGTATCGCCACTAAAAGGTCGCATCAGCCGGTGATGCACCCAGGTTTTTGGGGTGCGAGATGCGAAACATCGAGGATCAGAAATCGTTTGTCATTCATAGAGGAACGTGTAACCCAGATAGTCATCATATCGAGCGGATCGCTCATCCCGGGAAAAGGAGAATACGCGAACGTACCGTATTTACCATCTGCGGACGGCGTCTTCACAAGGACCTAGGATTTTGTCAGTGTCTTCATGAAAAGATGCTGTACGGCTAGCGTCAGGTACGCGCTGGTCAGACAGGGGTGGTGTCGTCGTTTGGTAGTTCAGAAATACAGCCCTTGGATCATCATGCGATGCGTGGTGTTGAGAAAGAAGAAGAAAATCATAACGTACCATAAAAGCGGAATCGGCAATTCTATCTTGGCCTAAGCTCCGGAGTGGCTCTGCTGCGGTATATGGATATCGGGGAAGATATGGTGTGAGAAGACCCTCAGCGATAAGTGTCGATATACCATCATCGGTTGCCTCGGGGTTGTTGGAAAATGCCAGTGAGCGGCGACTTACCTGCAAAAGAGACCACATGTCGCATGCGTCAATCTGAGGTAGATGTCTGTCAGCTGAGTCACAGTGCAGACTTGCCCAGTGAAGAATGTACGAGCAAGGCCTCCCAGAATGACCATCGCTGTTCAGGAGCGCACCATCCTGGAAACCCCCTTGTTCCGCTCGCATACGCACACGCATACATGCTCCTTACCCGTCAGAGGTTGGTTGTAGACAAGCTTTGTATGGGTGTTGCGTTGCGATGTGGGAGTTGATGTAGCCTTGCGACAACTAGGGAAAGGGTATAGAAAACTCAGACTCGTGTAGTCTAAGGCTTGGTGTAATGAGGAGAGAGCAGAAAAGGAGTGACTTACCAGATTACAACTTCTGCTTTCCCATCTCGAAGGCGAGGATGCGAGAAATATCAAGGCCCATTGCCCATTGGGGGTGCCAGCCGTGTCGAATCGCGAACTACTTGGACTGTCAGCACAGGCAGCCATCTTGGCTGCCAGCATCACCATTTTCACCGCTCATATGTATGTATGAGTGCGACCAATCCATGTAATAGCAATTGCGGACGGACGCTAGCACATCCTGGTCGAGATCGCACGTCACCTGCATGACTGTAGCAAGCTTCCTCCTCGCCTGGAAGCGTTTGTCATCCTAGAAGATGATTGCCAATCTTCTGTATCGTTTCACGACTTCCACTCTCGCAGAAGCCGACAGTCATGCAGGTCTTTGTTGATCTTGGCGCATTTGCATCCGAATGACCGGATGCGTTGGGGTATGAAGATAGATATAAGGAATCGTCCTCACACACCCTACGCCTGCAAAGTATGGGGGAAGGATGGAGTAAGAATGAGTTATACGTACCTGGATGCGGAATCATCTCGCCGGAAGCTTGAGTTGAGGGTCAGTGACCGGCATGGTGGGCGAAACCTGTCTTGAGTGTCAGCCTAGCATCTCCAAAGCCGCCCCGAGTTGATCATTTTGATGCCGAAATGTACGAACGGGATCAATCCAACGAGTGACACATACTAGGTAAGCCATCCTGGTCAAGATCCCGTGTCGCGACGCACAGAGCCTCGGATTTTCAAATCTACACTCCCTCGCCAGAGCGCCTGCTAGTAGCAGGAATCTTGTACTTTTCCAAATTGCACTTCAACCATCTTCTGGAAATGCTACTGCGTTTTTGGTGCTAATATCGGCGCACTCAATAGTGTACGAGAAGAGAGATGAAGGTCTAGTCCAGTGCATCCGGCGCCTGGGTTGGGGTCTTGGAAAGAGATGATGTAAAAAATGTGGTGACATACCTTAACTGATAGGGCAAGACATCGAAGGCCCCGTACCTGAGGTAGCATAGAAGCTGCGAATGACTGATCAAGTGTCAGCATCTGCTCTCAAAATATGAAGAGAAGGCGACGAGTAACAAAATGTACGATAAGCGACAATCCGACCGAAGAGATTGGCAGGGCGAGTTGCCCTCTCCGACGGCACATATCCTTGGTCGATCGCGGTTTGAGACTCCACCTCTTCGCCAGGTGTTGGATTAGTTGTAGTTTTGGACTTTTTTGTCGGAGACAAGGAGCACTTTTTTTCTTTGAGTTCCACCGGTGTCCGGGGACCGCGCGTTGGTGTATTTCTTCTTGGCCAGCTACAGTGAACATGCACTATGAGGAAGTGCACCACTTTGTCGCTGGCCGTGAAACAAAGGGTGTAGAGGCATGCGAAGATAAGCAAAGAGATGGAAGACATACCTTGACTTGTCGCAAAGACAGTAAGGGGCAGCAGCACTTCTTAGCAGTGGCGCACATGCTTCAAGGCGCAATGTCACACACTCAAAGCCTGGCCTGTCGGTTGTCTGGCATCCCGAGTTGATATCGAGCAAATTCGTTCGCATCAACTGAAAGTACGGTGTAGTGGTATTTTCGAGCTGTCGATGTCGCGATTCGTGGAAAGAAGAAAGAATGCCGGACCTCCAATGAGATGCGGAAACAGAGGAAGTACACACCGTATGTCGAAGGCATATACCCGAACTACCTATGTGCTACTCGTCAGCTTTTACTCCAATGCGGCAATGAGAGAGCGAGAGGAAGATGATGTATCGTCAGCCAGATACGGCGTGGTGCCTTGCTGAGCCAGGCAGGACACCCAGCCCAGCATTGGAGATCATCGCATGCCTGCCGAAGCAGACATGAAGCAGCTCACTCCCAGCAAAAGGTCAGGTTGCCTGATGAAGCGTATTCTTATCCGGGCTTAATAAATCGTTACATCATGAGGAAGCGTATGACTCATGGGGGCCGGGCGTAAGTGAGGACGAAAAAAGGGAATCAATACATGCCTGGTGATGTGGGTTCGTGTGCGCTTCATGGGCGCTTCATGGGCGCTTCATTGGCACTCCATGAGATGAGTCTAGTCAACACCGACGATGAGAGAGACCAAGCCCGGACAGTGATGCCGATGCGCTGCCTGGATCTCAAGCTTCTCGTTGCGTGGTAACAATGTTAAGACTCGATGGCTCTGAAGTGTCCGACAATGTTCGAGGACAAGGGGAGTAGTCTGGTCGGACTAGAAGATGCATGACCAAATGGCAAGCAAAGGTCAAGCTGCCTGTAGGATTCTGGATTATTCAATGTTCTTATGAAGGAGGTGGATGAGTAGTCAATGCGGAGCTCCATGGTGGGATCGTCATAGATGCCACATGAGTACCTCGAGCTGAGGAGTAGGATCGAGTTGCGATGCGCCAACACCTGAGGGTATTGATATAGCCACTTTACCTGATCATATTTGTCGAGAAGGATTCTCGACAAGGTTGATGGGGTGGGGTGAGCTGGTGAGTCCATCGCTGCGAAGGTCCAGGCTGTCCCGCCTTTGCAATTAAAAGGCGTCGACGAGAATATTGATGATGATCTAAACAAAAGGCTCAGTCAGCTGAGAGCATTAGAAAAAGCTTCTTGTGGAAGGGCTATTGGTGAGGGAGCGGATACCATAAACGCTGTTGTTGTCACTGCAGCCTCTGCAGCCAGGCAACTGGTTCAGCCAGGCGAGCAACAAGAAGCTCTTGCGTCCTCTGCCGCTAGACGCTGAGATTGAGAAAGAATCTTACTTACCGATGAGTCTGGCCACCATCTCACCAAAGGCTTCTGTGGTTGTTGATGCTTCTGGCGGGGTAGAGGCTGGAGGCTGGAAAGTCAACACCAGAGCACCGAACTCGATCGCGGCAAGCTGTGCAAGCCTCTAGTATGCACGCCATCAGGCCTGATATAATCCCTCAGCTAATCGCGCAATCTCTTCGTGTTCGAGAGCGACATTGCTGTGAGACGAGCCAGGAGTGCTTTCGCGCCCACGAGTCGACGCCATCACTAAGTGACCGCAATGACTGAAGGCATGCAGCCAAAGTAAAAAGACACCAAGACAGGTATGAAGAGGTAATGAAGAAGCTCGGGAGCCTCAAAACGAAAGGTTGTTTGGGGAGTGAGTGGGATTGTGTGGGTGGCGAGGGAGAGACTCGAAAGGCCTTGTCATATAACGCTAGCGCCAAACAGAAGCCCTCACCGCCCGCCTCGCCACCCGGTGAAGCACTAATTGAGAGTCTGGAAACTCTTAAGGACTAGTATCAGTTCTGTACAGGCACAAAGAGAAAACCCCAAAAGAAATTGACTGCATTATGTCAACACCAGGGCCAGCGATATCATGTACACTTAATATCTGTATATGGGTTCCCCGCATACACTCATTTCTCTACATTAATCTTCCCTTTGCGCTGCCGATTCCTCCATAAGCATTACATATCAGGGCCTTCGCCGTATTTACCCATAACTACTATACCCCTTGAAACAGGACAGAACGAAGAAACGACTCGAGACAAACAATACTGCGCGACCTCGACATACAATGCAGCTGAGTAACAGTGCTCTGCCGCAGGTCTAAATGACCACATGCTATTGATCTGTATACACAGATCTCAACTCACCTTGTTGTAAAGCCGCTTAGTTGGTGACTGAGTGACCCCATAGGCAGATACACTGAGAGACTTTGTTGTCGCAACATCGATCCACGATCCTACATTCTTTTACCGCTTCCTGCCAAGCTCTTCGTCAAAGCGATCAGTGTAAATGTCTCCAGAGCTGACATTCTTCCTGCCTAGAAACACCGCGTTAGCTTAAGCCGATATGACCGCCATTATATCGGATTGGTACACATACTCTTACTCCTCGTCTGTCGAGCCGGAGAGTCCTGCGAGCGAGACGTAGCGTATGCTTGTGACGAAGGCCGTTGGCGGGAGGAATAGATGTCTTTTGAAGAGGTCATTTGGCCAGTGCGAGGCTGGACACTAGAGGTGATTGAGGCTTTCGGGCGTGACGATGAGGACGGTCCACGGGCATAGGGGGGCCCATTTTGCGCCTTCGAGCGAGAGCCAGGAACGGACAACTTAGATGCATGGGGACGTTGGTCAGCGGTGCCGAGACTCCTGTCCGCCTGAGAAGAATTGCGCGGCTTCTTGATACTAGAATCCCTATCTGAATCGCAGGGCGAAACCTTTCTCTTCACGATACGATCCTGTACTGCTGTGCCTACCTTCCGTTGCGATCCTGATTCAGCGGAATTCCAGGGATCATGTTGACTGTGCGTCTGCCTCGCTACTGACGACTTCGAGTGCATGAGGTCGGTCGTATCAACATTGCTGCTGCTGAACTTTCGGGACGCCTGTCCATATACGGAGTGTTGAGATGATACCTTCTCTGGGACAGAGTTACCGTTGCGTGACTGGGAGCGGTGCGAATTATGCTCCGGAGGCATCATGCGAGAAGCTGTATTGGCTTGTGATCTAGGACGATCATACGACTGAGATGATCGCAATTCAGCCACAGAGTCGCTCTCAGATTTTGATGAAACTTTAGCGACATGTTTCTGGGAGGACCCATGCTTGGGGTAGCTGCACTCACGGCCACGAAGCATTGGTCGAGACGTCGGTTGGGCCTCTCTCTGCAGTTGTATCAGATCTTCAGAAGCTATGCTGCTGAAATCAACTGAGCTGGAATCTCGGGGCCTCTGTTCTTCTTGTGAGGCGCGAGCTAGCCTCTCCTTGAAGACATGCTGCGACATTGATAAGGCACCGACGTCTTGGGTTTCCGGAACTAGCCCTGGAAGTCCCAAAAATGGCATAGTTCCCTGAGTTTCCGACACAAAGTCGGCCTGGCCAACCATGGAGAGATCAGGTTCGTCATCGAAGAATTCCTTGCTTCCAAGTGGATCCTCGAACAAGCTCTTGAATACGCCTGAGTCATCATCTGGCGGTCGAGAATCCTTAACTTGGACTACTGAGAAGAGGTTGTCCGCTCGAGAGTCCAGTTGGTTTGGCGCCCCGGGCACTGATTCATTGAGCCGACTGACTCTCTTACGATTCTTACTCCCCTGATTGGGTTCAGAGAGAGCTCTCTCAATGAGAGCAGTCTGTGTCTCTTGGTCCCGACCGAGACGAGGTCGTTCATGCAGTGTCTCTTCCAGGACTTTGATCTTTTCCTGGTACCTACTCTCCAGGTCAAAAAGTTTTGATGCGGCTATCTTTTGGTCAGATGCGATCTTAGCCATGTGCTGGTCCTTTGAGAGCCGTGCATCTGACTCCGACTTCTTCAAAGCAGCTTCTGCTTGCGACAAACGGCGGTTCAAATCTTCGATCGCTCTGTTGTGGTGTTCCATGAGTTGCTTATTCGCAGTGGCCGCATCTGATCGGGACTTGGACAGATCCGCATCGCTTGTGGCGCGTAGCTCAGCCATCTCCCGTTGCAGTCGACGCTCCTCATCAATACAAGCCTTTTTCTCAGCCTTCAGCTTGTCCTCATTTTCATGGGCTTTTCCAAGTCTGGACGACAACTCATGGTTCTCTTTCTGAAGAGTTATGAGCTGGCTTGGTGAAGATTGTGAAGATTGGAGAGTACTCTGCACCTCTTGTCGCAGCTTTGCGATCTTGCAATCAGTATCCCGGTGCATAACCTCTAAGGTCGATTTCTGCTGAGAAGACTGGGCATGTAGTCGATCGTATGAGTCCTGAAGGTCGGTTGCTTTCTTAGTCGTGTCTGCATAGTGCTGTTCCAGCTTGACCAGATCTTGTCGAGACGCGGTGAGAGCCTTCACTAGTATTCACGGTGAATCAGGCTTCCCGTGCTCTGATTGGCCAGGCACTGATTAGTCAGCTGCTCCGTGCGCGCACCATAGATATTCTCTCTTCTCCCGTAGCTCCAATACAACAAGTTCACGCACGTTTCTCCACCTTCATCAGGTTATGAGCCCTCCTCTATCACGATAAAGTGCTCTAGAGGTGCGATTTCCGCAGCAGCAGAACCGATCAGTTGAACACAACATCAGTCACTCGCGCGACGACGACGACGATAAAGTCACGATGGCGCCATCCACAGCGATGGACGCGATCCCAAAGCTACAAGCAGATGGTAGCAACGCTTACCACTGGGAAGCAGCATTGAAGCTGTACGCAAATATTCACTCTATCGGAGGTCTACTCGACGGCAGCTACGTGGTTCCATACCCAGAAACACCTCACTATCAAACTGAACCGACAACTACGTCATCGGCATTCAACACGCCACAACTTCTGCTTGACGCTCAACAACGCGTACGAGCCCACAACAAAGAAGTTACTACACAGTACGACAAAGACTGTGAGCTCTATCGTATCTACAACTCCCGAGAATCGTCTCTCACCTTGGCCATACTTAATACAGTACCAAGATCAGTATGGGACAACGTCATGAACCTGCCTACTGTAAGGCAGAAGTACGAAGCTATTACCGCACGCTATCGTGAACAAGGCGTCACTGAAGAGTGTACTATCTGGGCAGATTTCTTCAAGCTGAGAGCTCAAGACTGCCCCTCTACAGCCAACTTCACCGACAAGTTCAAAGCAGGACTTGCAAAGCTTGACGTCATCGCAGACTGTAAGCTATCTAACAAAGCTCGAGTGTATCAGTTCATTCTTGCTATCAACAACGCCTACCCGGACTACGGACGCGATCGCCGCGCTGATCTGCGCCGCAACGTTACTCTGAACGTCGATCGCATGTGTAGCGAGCTTATTGACGAGGCCCGCCGCGACGACCCAATCAAGACCATTAACACGTCTATCCGAGCTTCTGGGGGTGACAACAACCGCAGTCAGCCTCTTAGTGATAACAACGACGCCAACAGAAGCGCCACCCGTGGCCGCGGCAATCGAGGCAATGGGCGAGCCCAGCGCGGACGAGGTAGAGGTTCTGAGGGTGCGACTCAGAGACCTACAAATACCTCCCCATACTGCAAGCACTGCGACTGCAACCATACTGGAGGAGGTGATAACTGCTGGTACACCTTTCCTCACCTCGCCACTGAAGCCTGGCGTCAGCGCCAAGCTCAACAACAAGGCAAACAACAGCCTACTAGCACCAACGCCGCAGCTATTAATGCTGAAGGCTTTGCCTTTACAACGGTTCATTTGTCAGAGAAGGTACAGAGTCTCACCAAGGAGACCTCTAACTTCAAACAACGATTCATTATCGATACTGGAAGCAGCGATCACATCTGCAATGATCGCAGCAAGTTCCAAATTCTACACGACACTGCTCCTGCTACAATTAATACTGGAGCCGGACCTATTACTGCTAAGCAGGTAGGTACCATTCAGATCACTGTCGTCACGTCAGAAGGTGTACTCAACAAGGTCTCCTTCACTAACGTGCTATACGCTCCGGACATGTTTGTATCAGTCCTCTCCCACTCTAAACTACGAGCGAAAAATCTCTATTACCACGGCTGGGACAGCAAGCTGTACCTCATGCCATCACAACAAGAGATCGCCTTCACACCTGAGGTCGACAAGATCCCTACGCTCCTCCTCGCCAACACAGAGCTTGAGGCAGCTCGCGCGTTTGCCTTTGCAACCGCCGCGACCACCAACCCAACAGGTGTACTCGCTCCCTATCGCGAGATTACTCTCCAAGAGCTCCATGAGCTGTTTGGCCATGCCGACCCTAAAGCTCTTAAGCTTCTTGTCGCTAACACCACCGGCCTACGTCTCACTACAACACAGGCATTCTCATGCGAGGCCTGCATGTTATCCAAATCGAAGAAACAGATCTCACGACGGTCTCCAGCCCGCTCAACGACGTTCCTCCATCGTATTCATATCGATATTGTTGGACCAGTGACGCCCGAAGGTGTCAACGGTGAGCGCTACTGGATACTGTACACCGACGACTACTCACGATACCGCTGGATTGATTTCACAGACTGCAAAGCAGCAATCACATCTAAGCTTATACAACACCTGGACAAGATGGAAACTCAACACCACGTTCGAGTGTCGATCGTTCACATGGACAACGACAACATGTTCCTCAACCAGACGACTAGGCGTTACTTCAAGGACAAAGGCATCATCTCCGAGCCTTCCACCGCCTATACACCCCACCAGAATGGAGTCGCTGAAGCCAGCAACTACGTAGTGGAGGTCCGAGCGCGCACAATGATTTTGGCAGCGCCTCACATATCTAAGACATACTGGCCATACGCAGCCCAGTACTCCATCGACGTCCTTAATCATAGCGTCAGCTCTGCTGTACCAGACAGTAAGACACCAAGACAGCTGCTATTTGAGCACATGAAGGTTGCAAACCCTGTGCCTAATCTATGCTCCTTCCGCACCTTCGGAGAAGCTGGGTACGTCCATCAACCAGTACAGCGACGAGTTCAGAGCGCCAAGTTTGAACCACGATCGGTCAAGATGTACTTCGTCGGTCGAGAAGGATCACGGATCTACCTTATGTGGGATCCAGTCACACAGTCCATACACCGTACGAGCAGTGTTGCTTGGCCTAAACACGACGTCAAAGCTGTAGTCCAAGAAGACACAGCTACAACCGAACCGGATCAATGCTTCTATATCCAAGATCCACCGCCAGCACTAGATCCCTCTTCATTTCCACACCATGAAGTCTCTCTCCCGGAGCAAGGTAGTGGTTATGTATTCGACGGACTAGAGGCTGAAGCGCAGTCTAGCTTTGACTTTGACGCGGACATTGACAACTATAACGTGTCCGTGCGCGTGATGCGCGGATTCGCGTGATGCGCGGGGAACACCATATCCACTACTTCAAAAATGAAGCTATTAAGCCACGTATATAAGCTGTTATTATACGAATTTATAGAGGGGGAGTAATTAGATGCTTGCGATCAACTTGTACTATCTATATTTTGATGGGAGGTTGATGTTGCGGCCACGTGATGTGAGCTTTGATGTTGATGTTGATGTTGATTATGGTTTAACGCCCTATCTGTAACCTCCCATAGGGTATTCGGGCGGGTCCCGCCGTGGTCTTATAGTGCTGTCGCACTTGCCTCGTGGAACCTATTCCTAGGTGTTTTGTATCTAAGGGGAGTGATGTCCTGCCTATATACATGTTCGTGAAAAGGACTCCCGCCATTTGAAGCCGTTTTCCTACAATATTCTAGTATTTCGTGGCTTGCGCCTTTGATCGATGCAGTACAGTAACTGCTTTTTAGAGAGAGAAACGAAAAAGTAACAAGAGGCAATTTGAGATATAATAAAAGGTTTGAGAGAGAGCGTGTGGGTTGTGGCATCTATGCGGCGTTTTGCCGCGAATCCTACACTGAATAATGCCAAGGAATTCAGCGGGTCTTTGTGAAATTCAAAAATAGAAATCACTCGTCATAGAAGGAGTTCGTTACCTTCACGAAGGTCTCGAACTCTTGTGGCTGGTCTATTAATTGCGCGAGGTACGCTAGGCCTTCCTGTCTTGTGCGAGGGGGCACGATGGGGCGTAGAGGCCACTTCTTGAAGTGTGTTGTGGCTCTCTTGCAGAACACTAGGTGTTCTGGCGTCTTGGGCCTGCCGCATAGGCATTTCGAGGTATCCTCGTGGTTGAATTTTCGGTGGTACCATTCAAAGTCGCCATGCGTTGAGCGTATCATAAGGACTTTCGCGAGTATCCTTCGGGGTAGCCATAGCGCTGCGGGCGTGCGCCTAGTATCGTATGGCAGCTGCCATTGCGTGTACCATGCTGATAGCCTACTGCTCTTATCCTTCCACCAAGTGTCCCTTGTATGTTCGAGGAGGCGGCGGCCTACTGTTCGTATACCGGATCTTGTGGGGGAGGCGGCCATGCCGTATGGCTGGTGCGGGTCTTTGGCCTCGTTGTCAGCCAGCTGGTCGGCGAGTTCGTTTCCAACAATCTTCATGTGTCCCGGCGCCCACCGCGTTTTCACGCTGTAGGCCTCCATAGCTCCATGAATTTGGAGGAACGCCCATTGGGAGGAGGCAGGGGCGGCTCCGCGTATGCCCCATATTACCGAAGTGCTGTCTATGCAGAGTACGATCTCCCTCTGGCTAGGCAGTGAGAGTTGTAGTGCGTGTTTGAGTCCTCTGCACGCGCCTATAGCCTCCGCATCGAAGACGTGGCTAAGGGCATTTAGTGAGCCTTGTCCAGTCGCCACGGCGGCCTGGCCCTGGTATATAGCGTACCCGTAAGTGACCACCCTTGTACCGTTGATTTGTTGTTCAGACCCGTCTGAGAAGACAGTGATTGTCTCTTGTCCAAGAGACTCCCACCAGATGGTGAAATTCTGGGCAGCAATGTCCTTTCCTTGCCCTTGCGTTGGATCCTGCCTCGACCCGTATGAAAAGTGAGGGCTGGCTAGGACGTTTCGGGGTGTGGCGGGTAGCAGTTGTGCTACGCGCTGAACCTTCGATCTTGGTATCCGTCGGTTGCCCGCTGCGCGTCCTCGTATGACTAGTGGCAGTGTAGTTCTATTAGTAAGTGGGTGCTTGTCGTCTATCGTGCGTAGGTGAACCGCAAAGCGGAGCTTAGCCTCCTCCAGCGCCACCTGTGCCGACGGCATCGCAGCTTCTCTTAGCAGTACTGCGTTTGGTGTTGTCCTCCACGCAGGGAGGATTGCCTTCGTGGCTGCTACTAGTGCCTGAT